GACTTCTATTTTTAGCGTTCACCCGGAAGCATTTCTCCGCGCTGTTCGCCTTGGGAGGGACATTTTGCATTTCGCCTGTTTCTTTTGTTTGCTCCTATTTTTGTACACGTCGCATCTTGATAAGACCTGTAGACTCTTGTCAAGTGTAAACGAAGTACCTACCTTTGCATAGCTCCACAGGAATATACGGGTCTGCACAGGAGGCATGGGCAGTGACTGATGGAAACCAGCAAAATGCCCCCTCAAGCCAAACTGCGTGATTTATTCAATAAAAAAAATTCCAACCTACGAGCCATGGCATCCAGTACTTCGATAGCCGACCATCCCAATTGTGCATATCCCAGGGGTGAACAAATAACGTCAGACTGAGCTCTTCACACACCTGAAATATGCCCGCTTCGTTCCCTTCATTAGATTGGTCTTTTTCTTTTTTCTGGTTATTCTTGTTCTTTTTTCTCTTTTTCTTCTTGTGATTTTTTTAAATCACTGATTTTTCAAGAAGCCGTAACAAAAACAATCCTTAACTTATACAGAGGCCAGAAGTCCTTGTGATCCAAACTCTTCTCACCAACATGTGAACCAATTTCAAAGCCTCGAAATCCCATCGCAGCACAACGTCGGACTTCCTGAAACAATTTTCTTCACATCTTCAACCTTGCAAATTCCTTCGCCGTAATTGAAGCCGTTTCTCAGAAAACTTGTTCAATAATCATTATTTCGCCTATTTATGCTAATTGGTGCTCCGTTGAGCTGCTGCTGTGTGTCGCACATCCTGATTTTCAACGGTTAAGCAGCTTTCCTGGCAGGATCAGGGTTCGTTGACGTCACAAAGCCATTCGCCTACCGACTAATGATTTCCGAATTCCGAAATAGGTGAATACACGACTATTCTATTTCCCGCCCCAACGAATTCAACAAGAGGCGGAACACTACTGTATTGGTTTGAAAAACTCAGGATACGGTAAAGAAGGGTCAGTCAGTGTGAAATCCAGCTCCCAGCCCTCCCTGGGCAACTCCACCCGTGAGCATCGGGCACGCGCCAGGTATAGCTGATAGGACAAGGTATCGAGCTTCCGCCAGCGACCGATTATTCCTTGAGACGCGCTACGCATTCTTCTTGCGTTCAGATTCGCAGTGCCGTCTGAGATGCCAGCTGACCATTACACTGACTTGGTAGGGGCAGCGGTGCATGGGTCATGCAATTTGAACTACATGATGACGTATGGGGCCAAGCAATGTCTAACTAGCGTTTTTCACCATCTCGGACGAGTGGGGCTAATATTCTGACAGCAGAGGACGGGGATTGGTCAGCCTCAATGGAATCCGATTCAAGACCCGAGCCCTGTCAGAGCGACGCTTGCCCAGACTACCTATGCTTTCCAACATAAGCGCTCGTAGGTTCTGGAAACACCTTTGGGAAGGTTAAAGCTGTTGCAGAAGATTACTCCCGCGGTGTGGACCCCACCTTTGACTGTGGTTTTGTCCGATCACAGCGATTTCTGGTGTTCTGGCACTGTTTGGTTTGGAGGGGCATTTTGCACATTCGCCAGTTCGTTTTGTCAGTTCAGTTCAATAACAGCTTTCTCTCTGTAGAGATTATTTCTATTTACAGACACCTTAAGGCACGGTCCGCGATCAGGTATCGTAATTGAAATTAGCGTAAGAGTGTAGATGGTCCGGCGAGAACGACTTGTACCGTTTCGCGCAAACGTTCTGTTGGAGGGCGCGTAGCGCAATATAGCTGTTCAGTGGCTCCTCTTTTTTCCAGTTGACTCGTTTCAGACTCCGCTACTATGGACCGGTTTCCAGTGGAAATAATATTGCAGGACGAAAAGCTATGATACGATTGGTCATTTGTACGTGTAGATATGTTATGGAGAATAGCTAGTTGCAATGAGGGGTAGTTTTGGAGTAGAAATGAGGGCATCTGGGATCGAAACGGGTGGTCCATCTGGTAGGATGGATGTTTTTTGTGTTTTTTTGTTAGAATTGAGTTACGTACAACGCTTGTCGTCTATATGGAAACCTAGTCAGCATTGAGATGTGGCGAATATCGCGCGTTCTTACGGTTTACGCCTGCGTGAAGCTGCGAAATGGCTGTGCATGAGCCACTTCGGTACGGGGGGTGGCAGGTGGTTAGCAGGGTGGCATGTACTACCAGGGCCAAAATAGCGCCGTGGTTGTTCTGTTCGGAAGAATACTTGCACTGGGCGCACGGCATAACGATACCTTATCGACAGGACTCATTTATCTTGAGGGTTCTCAAAGAACTCATACAACGAATTTCAGGTACTTTACCTAGACTGCTAGATATCATGCTGAGACAGGTTGCAGCATCGCTGAAAGAATTCCATCGGAGGGAGGGGGAGCGTACTTAGTTGCTTAGGAGGGGTGGGTCATAACTTGATGGCGGTCGCATCAGGCTTTGACAGAAATTCTTCCGAGCCTCGAAAGAATTTTTCGTGGTTCTTGACTTAAACACAGTTGGCACGATAATTTGGTACTCAGCCTAAAATGCTAGCAGGGCGCTATATAGTGGGGAAAATGGCGAAAAAACGAAGTGAAACGGTAAAACCTGCGAAGAAAAGCCTTCGTTCTTAATGACTCAAAAAGCAATTTCGGACGAGTTTCCCGTAGGCATCTTGCCAATAACCGCTACGGTAGGTACGGCTGCACGTATGTACTCATATATCCATGCAGCACCGCAGCCGCTTCATATCAATCCCTTCGCTTCATATTTTACTTAGCAAATGAAGCAATACGAGCATCAGGTACGGTCGTCCATTTGTGGGCGGGCGGGCGTGGTCGGTATGTTGTAGCTTGATAGGGCCCTTATAAGGGTACCTTCCTTGGAAAAGGCGCTACGCAGCGCCTGCTCAGGGTCGCGGAATTCCGTCCTGCCAGGCGTATTAATCCTACTCGTCTTAGGGATTTATCGTGCCAACTGCCTAAAGTGGTGCGAAGTCGGGAAAACTCAGGAAGATGGTACGTATGATGTAGAACAAGATGGTACCAGAGGGAGAAATTCGTGGCGGTAAGGGTAATAATGACACCGCCATTTCACAGATCATGGTGCTGTTCTGATATTCATGAAGCAGCGTGAAGAATATGAATTTTGCCTGTTTGAAAAAAAAGTTCAAAAAGCAAAAATATGTAGGTTGTCGAAATATAAGCCAAGACTTGCACGAATAGTTCGTATCATAGCAACGTGTTGTCTTGGTCGAGCTAGTGGGTACAAAACAAGAGATTTTCTGTTGTAAATTGCCTTCTGGGAAGCATTGCGGACGGGGTTACAAACGTTTTTTAATGATCGATTATCGACCACACCTCGTCCCTATCAAGGGAAGCTCTTGAGAAGAGGGTATATTTGGTGATGGGGGAAACAGATTCCTCTCCAAGTACGAACCCCTTCAACTTGTAGTCCAACCTTACGTTACTTTCTATTACCTCCTTAACCCTCCATTGGCTCGGAATTTCCACTCTTTGCAACAATGTGCCGCACCTCCCCCCGCTCCCCCTCTCAGGAGCCGAATATGACCCCTCAAAATGACTCGAACATTGGACCCTTACCAACGATTCCTAATGCATGGTGTGCAAAAGTCTTTCTAAAGAAGAAGCAGTTCCATTGACCAAAAACTGCACACATAATCCAGGATGATTGTTATTGAACCTTTTACATGATAAAAAGCGGAGG